AAACCAAAACATTATAGCAATATTATTAATATTAATATTGTTATTTAATAATATAATAATAGCAAAGCACTTATACTGGCAGAAAAGGGTAAGTGCTTGCGGCAGTACCTCTATTCCAGCGATTAAGTGCATTTACTAAGGATTTGTTTCAAATATTTTAAACATTAATCTCCGATTTAAAAAGAGAAATTTATTGCCTAGATGTTATATTTCAAGGCACTTTTTGTTATTGTTAGCTGTTCAATTTTAACTTGATTTGATTTTCAACTTTAGTTTGAATAACTTGAAAAAGTTGAATTTACCTGGTGTTATTTATTGCCTAAACCAATAATTTTCTCATGTTTTATTATTATCTGACTATCCAGCTTTAATAAAATGTCAATTATGACCAAATTAATCAAAAAACTAACACAAGTCAAAGTCTTCAATCCGCCATGTTTGGATGATATTTTGGGACAGTGTTTCACCTTTTTTTGGAACATTGTTTTGTTTTTTTAATTAATAGTTGCAAGGAACATACTGATATGCAATTCATAGAGATGTGGTGTGAGGAGGGTGCAAAGTAGGGAGATTATGCCCACAGACTATAAGGGTACTTAGTATTGTTGTCTTTGTATGATGGGTCTGAGAATCTGGGCACCAGCTGACCTGACCCAACTATACATTAAAAGAAAACTGACACTGCACGACACTCATATTAATGCCTCCAACAAGAAGATAAGCGTTTTAAAAAGCTTCTTTGTTAGTTTCAAATTCAACCAAAAAAGTCATAGTGTTTTGAATTACTTTTTTCTGTTTAACAGTGATATTTTTATTTTAGGTTATTGATGTCTAATTTTTTTATTGTTAGTTTTCATCATTTAGACTTGTTTCAGACCCAGTATGTACTGTTCTGAAATTATATGTTAGATATGTGAGTGTTTGATTTATGGTAAATGGATCCTCTTAAATCATTCTGCAACAATCATTTCTTAAAGTACTTTCAGTCTAATTTGTAAAATAATTAAATTTATTAGTATTTTATTGATATCATTAGTAAATTATTTATTATTATACTATTAATATATTGTAAATTTATTTAATATAATTTCCTGCTCTCAATTAATTATCAGACACATTAATATAATTTTTTTTTATTTATAGATATAACATAGTTTCCTACTGTTGGAAATTTATCCATGTTATCAGGAGAAGTCATTTCACTGACTAATAAATTTAAAATATTAGCTTGGATATATCATTATTCATTATTGTTTTAATAAACGAATCCATGTCACTTCAAAACTGATAAAAATGAAATAAACATATTTAAAAATATAAATAATAGTAATAAATAAAGCAAAGCTTTTATTTTAAAATTATTTTTGTTTATATAACAGTTATATGGCTTTATCTTTGAACAAATTAATAAAACTTCATCAACAGTGAACTTTTAATTGTTTACTAAATCAGGCGGGACTGCTGAGTCCCAGAGAGAATTTTCCGCCATTAGTCTTCAAGTAAAAGTGGATTATAAAAAAAAATTATATATATATATATAATAATTAACAGACTAATGAACAGCTGCGTAAGATTTGTGATCGGGGTCCCAAGATACTCCCATGTTTCTCATCACTACGCTGAGTTAAAGTGGCTTTTCCCCTCCTTCCGAAGACAATATTTCCTAGGTACGTTCCTCTACCAAATCATCAACAACCATCGTCCTTCTTACGCCTACAACCTTCTCCAATTCAAATCCTCAGTCCATTCCCTGTCCACAAGATCTCGACCTTCTAACCTTTCCATGCCTTCTCACAGATCTGCCTCATTCAAAAATTCCGTTATTGTTCGCTCTGTCAATTTCTGGAATTCCCTTCCTATCAAAATTCGACATTCCCCATCCATATCCACATTCAAAACCCTCCTATCCCAACAGTCAGATAGTTGCTAACCATTCGAGCTGATTTTAATAGAGAATTTGATACATTTTTATTTTTTAATTCTTTATTATTTTCTTAAAAGTGTATACTGGTCGATCAATGCAAATAGCTTTAAGTGTCTTGTCATAGTATTAATTGTTTTGTATATAGAATGTTTACCTTATATTTTTTTTACATTATTTTTTTTTTTCGATTGATTTTATTTTGGCCAGATGTACTCTTTTAATTTTGTTCTATTTTGTTATTCTCAAGGGACTGTGTCCCAGAATAAAGTTATTTTTCTGTCTATCTATCTATAAAATACAAGCAACAAATAAACTTTATAATATGGTTTCATTTGTATTAAAATATTCATTAGGTTCAGGGCATGTAAATTGATTTGTTGGCAGTTTTTGACGAAGCATCAAACTTATATGGGCCTCATGTTTGAGTCAAAATGTCAGTTTTTATAATTGAATATTATTGACCTGATTTCCCATCGTTCTATTTTATTTATCAATCTGATTTGGTACTGCAACCCGCTAGTGAGTCATAGCTTCTGCCAACACCATCTTCCAGCATTCCCTGTTTTGGTCTTCCACCATTAAAATTTTTTTGATATTGTTCATACATTCCCTACATCACAACGTAGGTCTTCCAACACATCATCCTCCATGGAGGATCTCAGCCAAGAAGTTCTCCGGAGTCATATTGTCTGTCATTCTAGCCACAGGACAGTCAATTTAAGTCAGCCAGATTTTATTAACTCCACATCAGGTTTGTTAAACTTATCAGACTTCCTGTTTTATCTGTGTTATCATTCCTTATTTACAAGCAGGATTTGAAATCGATATATATATATATATATATATATATATATATATATATATATATATATATATATATATATGTATATATTATTTTTTTCACAAAATCATGTAATAATTATTATATTAAATTTTTAATTAAAAAATCATGCCTCATTTATAAATAAAAATTTAAATCAATCTTTGATGTTTATTGATTCGGTCAAGAATAATTATTATTGTTAATTGTAAAAATTTTGTTCAAAAATAATGATCAGAGTATGATTTTTAGAATTCCAGATAAAGATTTTGATTTTTTTAATTATCGATTTCAAACCTTGTTTAGAAGTACTGGACCATAAATTCTTCTTAATATCTTATGTTTCATTATCAACAGATCCTGTCCCTCAGTATTACTTGTTATATAGGTCTTGAATCCGTTAGTCAAAACTGGTTTGATGAGTGTTTTGTGGAGGATGATTTTATTTTCCTGGGACACTTAGTAGCTTCATAAGTGCTGTCTTATTCCATAGTAACATTGGTTGGTAACCAAAATTCTCTTACTTATTTCTACATCAATTCATTTATCACTACTTAATTGTGAAACTAGATATGCGAATTCTGAAACCTGTCCCAACCTGTGGGATCTAAAATCTGCCCTGACACCATTTTGTCTTAGGATCTCTGTGAGGAAATATCTGTTATCAATGAAATACCTCATACAATTGATTATCAATCATCTTTAATTTTAATTATTCATGAATACATTTAAATTATAGATCCTAGGAAGATGAAAAGAGCACTTCCATGCATCCTTAATCCCAATACTCCTAGTGATAACACAGTTGTGGAGAGAGGGATAGAGGGACGATGGAAGACATAGAATGATTACCAGAAGCATGGCACCAATCAGTAATCTGCCCAATCCATTAGAAGGGGGACTCTTTTGAATGCATCAACTAACGGAATACTTCATTGCTGCCTGTAGGCTATGAAATTCTTCTTGAAAAACATTCTCTTATTTCCTTTTGCAGACCAAGTGCTAGGTTTGTACCAATGATTCAAGAAATGGATGTCAACAATTGACCGAATTTTCACATTCTGGCAAATACTTGAAAAGGAACGGAGTTTGAACTGCACATCCATCACTTGTTAATTGATTTTAAAAATGCATATGACAGAATCAATAGGGAGCATCTATATTGTTCAATGGAGCATTATAATGTGGCTAATGAATTTGAAGTTGATTGTTGGGCTACAATGGGTGGAAGTAAAAAGCAGATTCAGGCAGAGCACTCACTTGGAGGAATTTCCAGTCAGTCAGTGTTCGACAAATTTTTACCAACTTTACCATAACTTGGGAATGCTTAGACCTTCCTAAAAAAGGTTATATATTACAGGTTACATTGGTCTCTTTTTAAAATAAATTCCCATAATTATTAAGTAGTAATTATAAATAAATAATTCCCGTTATCTACAATTAATACCAGCACTAGCTAATTTCTGAGGCACTTTATCATCTTCCCACTACTTTTTTTCAGTTTAAGTTCAAGTAGCCCCAAGTTATAGTACTACTTAAGATGTGAATTCATGAACCATACAACTACTTCATTTGAAAACTTAATTGTTTAACTCTTATAAGTTTCTGAGTCTCCTTTAGCTGCCTTTTATTTATTGCTTACACCATCTCTTGTAAGTTAAATTAAATTTTAAAACATACGTTATAACTTAAAGAATATGAATTAGCATGATGACAACCAGTTAACATTGCAAATTTGTATAATTTACTGTATTTTATACTATATGAATTTCAGCCATTATTAAAATATTTTCTGATTTCATTTTTATTTTTAGAAATTTATCCATTTCTTTCTAAAACAGCCTTACCATGTTAAAATCCTTTCATCCTCTCTTTAGTTCCAATCTAAAAATAAAAAAAAATTAATTAAACCAATTGTTTAAAAGGTAAGTTATGTTATTTAACTTATATGTTTTAATATCAAAAGTGGACGTCCTCTTTCATAAAACTTTTTCTCTGATTGACATTATTAGAATGTGGTTTGAATCTTCTTTGTTGTCTTATTTTATAAAATTTAAATTACATTTGTTATAAAATACATAATGTTTTAAATATTTATTTTATGTTTTATTTGTGTCATATTGCTTTGCCATGCGGTTCCTTGTGGTTTAGTAATAAAATAAGGTTTTTTAATTATTGATTGATCATTTAATTTTTTTTATTATTGGTATATTAAATTATTTTTTTCATAAATCTTAATTTAGGTTTTTGTTTTAGGCAGTCAAATTTTGCTGGAAAAATTACAGAAGTTCAAACCAAAAATAGCTGTATTTAATGGTAAACTGATTTTTGAAGTTTTTTCTGGTAAAAAAGATTTCAGTTTTGGAAGGCAACCTGAACTAGTTGATGGCACTAACACAGTAAGTTAAGAGAGATTTATTTTAATTTTAAATCTAATAATAAAAAAAGAATGATTTGGTGTGTGATGAAAACCATATTGCAAGAACTCAACATTTTTTAAAATGTACAATCAGTGCCTATTATGTTAGTTGTTCATTTTCACTTTTCTATTTATTTATTTTTTTATGTATTTCATATCTTTGCAATAATAGAAAAAGATCTGCTGTGTTGCAGACATAACAACTTTCACTTACTATCCTACTTTAAGTAGAAATTGGTATTTACTTATATTGGAAACTGAAAGTGAAAATTGTAGATAGTACAAATACATATTTTAAGCAATTTAAATTTGAGTGTTTTTCATCATTCTCCATTACCTTGTGTTACTATATATTATAAATTAATTTTTTCTAAAATGTTAACTTTCCAGTGACAATTCATCATATAATGCTTTTGTAGTTTATATTTGTCCATGTTTTATCATTTGATTAATAGGTTAGCCGATAATGAGGAGCTAAAAGCCTATAAGTAAACACAAAAACTATATGGTTGGGAAATTAGTTGGTGGTTGCAGTCAGGGATAAATACTAATATTTTTCTTTAATTAATTTGTGCCATTTCACACTAAGTTTCAAGATTGAGAAAAGACAAGATAACCAAAACATTTTTTAAAAATGTTGGCACAAAATAATTTTTTATTTTTACTTGTATTTCTCCCTGGCTACAATCCATTACTATCTTTCCAACCATATTATCTACAGTCAACTATTTCTTCACCATAATAAAATATTAAAAATTCAATGTTTCAATAATTTTGTTTACCTTTTGCTAATGTAAGATTTTGACCACTAACATCTTTAATTGCTAAATATATACCTATATAGGTTTATTGCTAAAAGTCAATAAGTACAGATTTAATGGAGCTAAACTTTTAAGAACATATTTTTAAATTTTGATTATATTTAGAGAAGCAAAAATGTATTATGTGCACAGTTATGATATTATAAAACAGTAGCTTAACTTATAGTGCTATATGGAATGGAGACAATGGGATTTACTAGTGCCGAAAAGATATTGAAAAAGGATACTAAGGTGTATCCATGGACCAAGAAAGGTGGGAGATGAGTACTGGCCTATAAAGAATCAAGATGTCGAAGATCTTGAAACACCAATGAGGAAAAAGAGATTAAAATTCTTTAGTGACATGAAGAGAAAGTGTAAAAAACAGGATAAACAAATATATATTTGACAAAGTAATGGGAATTAAGAACATGAAAGGATACCCTGAACAGATTAAGGAAGAAATAGTAAGACTTAGGATAAAATAATGAATACACTGATACGTATAAATTTAGAAGAACAGTGAATAAGATAAAGGTCCTTGTGATAGAAAACAAGATTAAGGAAGGAAATGGACATTAGAATGGAAAAAGAAAACTAGTGAAAAAATGAAGAAAGTTTGGGCTGAAAGGAAGTAGTAGGAGTTATTCCTGGCTGTCCCTCATACAAGTCTTTAAGCATTCCACACTCAGTAAGCTAAGCAAATGTGACGCAGTATCTTTACCCCAGTCAAATTAGCACAAAAAAGGGGTCTAGCTTGAAAATGGTCAGGTAATTGAAATTTCTTTTTTATATTGTTAGGTATGTAGTGAATTTAAAAAATCTAAGTTTTCACCCTTGAAAGTTTTGTGGGTTCACTGCAGTGCTTCATCGAGCTATCAAAATGGGTAAAGTTTTGAAAATTCACAAAAAAATTGTATAATGTTTTGTTTTTAATTAATTATCTGTTTTTATAGGTGACTGAGCTCAAAATTTTAAATTATATATTTGAAGCACACAAAATTTACTATATTTCCTATAGCTTTTATTAGAAACATATTACTCTGAACTTAACAACTTAAATATAGATCGCTAAAAAGAAATTGATGTTTTGAAATTAAAAAAACCTGATTGCTAATTTTATTTTTAATGTTTTCCACTTATTTTAATAAAAGCGGTCATCAACAATTACTGTCTATCTTGTTACTTTATTGTAATCCATTTTTTAATAATTAATATTATCCAAATTACATACCTTTGTGTTCTTGCGGATTGTCACCATCTCAAGACTGTTTGATTTCTTCGCAAAAAATTATTTTGGACAATTAAATTATTGTATTGATATTTGGTCGCTAATACAATCAAAATAATGTATTAATAACATTATAACTATGCCATTTATGAGTACTGAATGATGTAGCAGAGGACTCCAGGCTAGGGATGGGATATAGAAGGCCCAATATCGATATTAATGTCGGCTTATAACTATCGATACCATCAACGTATGGGGCTTGAAGTATCGATAGTTGATATTTTAAACATTTTTGAAATATCAATATAAATATTTCATATAGGCGTAAAAAAAAAAAATGTTGTTTTCCTCTTTAAATTAGTTAATGGAAATATAAATTCTTCTACCCTCCTTAGTGAAATACATTTTCTAGATCCTGACCATGTTCATCATACTCAGTTTTTTTCCATTCAACCAATCGTGCCTCTTATTCACCCATAGAACGGATTCAACCAAGTGCTACTTTATTTGCATCCTACATAAATTTCTTTGACAATTCGTGGTCTTGGTTTGAGAAGGTTCTTACTAAAAAATTTGAGTTTACTGAGTGAGAAGAGTCCCACCTGTACTATTCTAGAGATGGCCATCAATAGTAGATATTACCGAAATATCAATATTTTTTCTAACAATCAGATTCATATGTAATTCCTAGTGCTTTCCCAAAACGATAGTTTTCATTTTTATTTTTAAATTATAATATTAAAATATTGTATGAACGATATTAATAGCCGATAATATCAATGGTTAAATATCGAAAAGGAAGGAGATGGTCCGGGGTGGCAGTCCATATCAGAAGACTACAGCCCAAAAGTCTCCTCATTCCACAGTAATTGTATTTACATATGTAATAAAGAATATTGTTATATTTACATAAAATTATAGATAAATATGTTTTATTTAAAAAATATTTGTTTTCTTTAAAAATTACATGTCTAATTACATATATTTGCTATCTTATTCACTACTATAAATACAAATATGGTTGTATTTACAAGTGCGGTAAAGCATATTGTTATATTCACATAAAAGTATGAATAAATATTCCTTATTACTAAACAAATAAAATTTAAAATGGTTGTATTTACGGACGTAATAAAGAATATTGCCCTGTTCACATAATCTTAAAAATAAATATTTTTATTAATTAAACAGCCTTTGAACAGTCACATTGGGAGGGTATTTTTCCTTTTATGTTTTTAATGTTATTTGGTTTTTCTATGATGAAAATACCATCTATATTCATGGGAGCCCGGTCAGGGAAACACGTATAGGATGGACATGGACATGGATTTTTGAAGCCATTCATTTTTGCATATTTAATATATATTATTAATTTGTGTAAAAATAAATTTATAATAAATGAAAAAGAATATCTCATTATAATTTTATGGGGATATAATTGTGTTAATTATCACTCCTGTAAATACAAGTGTATGCATTTTTTAAGGCATGTATTTTGATGCAAATATCTGTATTCAGACCAATAAATTTGTCGTACTATTAATATTTAATTAAGAATGTTAATACATACTTTTATATGATGACCCAAACACATTACCATCGTTTCTCTTTGCTTAGTTAGAGGAGTTTTGTTTTAGTTAGTCACTTTAAACTTTTTTTTTTCTTTTTTTTATTCATTGATATTTACAACTGTATTATAAAAAAATACAACTAGTAAATGTGCACACAGTAAGAATGTTACGCCGTCTCACTGTTCCTTGGCTGACTCCTAAAATAAAGGAAATGATAAAAAGAAGAGATGCTGCAATTATGGCCCTAATAATATTCCAGTAAAACTAATAAAATCCAGCCTTCCTGTTCTTATTCCCGTACTTTACCATATCTTCAACTTTTCATTGCAAAACTCCATATTCCCATCTTGGAAAACTGGCCTAGTCCGACCTTTAAATATAGCTTCAAATCCTTCTTCACCTCATGACTTCTGTCCCATTTCCCTCCTTTCTAATCTTTCAAAACATCTGGAACGCCTCGTCCAAATTCCTAAAAGAACATTCCCTAATCAACCCTCTCCAATCTGTCTTTCGTCCTGGTTACTCAACCCAATCTGCCCTCCTAAAAATAACCCATAACTTCCAAAACTTCATTAAACCCCAAAAACTTACTATCCTCATTCTCCTTGATTTCTCCAAATCTTTTGACACACTTGATCACAGCATTCTCCTTAACTAAACTGCAACATCTTCCTTTATCCAACAGTGCCCTGCGATGGTTCAAATCCTTTCTTTCAAATAGATCCCACTGTGTAGTTGTCCAAGGCCAACCTGCCTCTGAGACACATCCCCCCTTCTGCGACGTCCCTCAGGGTTCCTCCCTAAATTCCTGTTCTGTTTGCTATTTACATTAATGACCTTCCTCTTCTGATCCATCATTCCTAATACCATATCTATCCAGATAATTTCGAAATATACCTGTCCTTCCCTCCTTCTGACCTATTAGCAGCCATGAAAAAACTTCAAGAGGACTTGGACAGAATCTGTGACTGGGCGGACAAGTTGAAGTTAATGCCGAGAAGACCAAGACAATTTTTATAGGCTCCAGTTACCTCCTTAATACTCTTCCTAACATACCGACCCTGTTCCTACACGATAATCTCATCAAATTCTATCCCACCATTAAGAAACTTAGAATAACCTTTGATCAAACCCTTTCCTGGAAAAACCATGTATCCGATATTTCCCACCGTGCCTTTTCCATTTTAAAACAACTAAATTACCTCTGCCACCTATTTCCTTTTGAAACCCGTAAACTCCTTATTACTTCCTTAATATTTCCTCATTTCGACTATCGAACCAATTTGATGTTACTATATCCATTGGAAAGCTGAATTATTGCTCTTCAAAGCTGTATGAATGTTTTTTTTTATTTAATGCCTACATAAGGAATAAGTAA